TTAAAAAAACAAGGAATTTTAACGATATTAGCCACATTTTTTAATTAAAACACCTAAGCGTTTATAATCAGACAGTTGTATTAGAGTGTAATAAAAAAAAATGTGTCTAATAATTTAAAATATTTATCGGTTGGATATTAATATTTTACGACTATTGTTAAAAGATGATTTGCAAATATCCCAAAAAATATCTGATATTACTTTATTGAATAAGCCGTACTTTTAGTGGATGTATCTGTACAAAAAAAACATTCTCGTTGTAAATAATAAAACTGGTTGTAAAATAAAAAATTCGAAAAACCCGGTTATAGATTTGAGTTTTGCAAGAAAAAACTCTATGGAGAACACGAATTATGAGTTGTTCTTAACGCAATCGTGCTGCAAAGCGTGGAATTTATGTAAAAAGTTGGACGGAGACTAGACGAGTGATAACGGTATCTCGGTTCAAATAATAATATTTTTTTTAATTAAAAGTAAATAATGCAGCAGTACCTACCGTATTGCCGTAAAAATTATTGGTCATTAACGACCATAAAAAGAAAGGCAGCGCCACGCAAAAGAATAAAAGTAGCCTTTATCCGGTTTAGAGAAAATGTCTTTTTCTTTGTGCACAAACAATGTGAACAACTCATCTTAATTCTAGTCCAGGCGGCGGTCTCGTTAACGTGGCGCTTATTTAGACGATGGTGATAACCTTTTTAATATCACATTTTCTTTCTTGACACGAACGTTTCTCCTAAGATCTCTCAACGGCTATTAAATTGCTCCATGATAAAAACAGATGGACGCCGAAGAGTAATAGAGCCAGATTAATTTAACGCAATCGAGGGACAAATAAAATAAAATTGGTCCAGCAATGGGCTCTTGTTTTTTAACTACTATAATATTACTTATGTCTTTAAACTTTATGAATACAACCTATTACATAGACGTCTGAAATGTATACTGTGTCACTATAGGCAACCTGTTAGACAGGCAAGTCTGCTTTGTTTTTTTTTTTTTAGCATGGAACATGCTTTGGCCTTGGCTTCTCAGCTCAAAAACGATTTAAAATAGCGTCTACTTTAAACGTATACTATATCGAGTCATCGTCATGCAAACATTTTGACCAGAACCTAAAATTAAGACTATACTATCGTCATAAATCGTAAAGAGATTATAGATCAGAATAATCACTATTCAGGAGCCAGCAGGCTAAAACATATTGTTCCATGTTTTATAATTTAAGCTGTTCGGCTTTAAGTAGACTGTAACTTTTTCAAATAAAACTTGTTCTTTCTCAATACAGTTCTAAAATTGAACACAATACCGGACCCAAAAATAAGTTTAAGATATTTTTGAAGCAATATGTATTTTTTGAACCAAAACCAGTAATCGCCTTACCGCGTCAAAGCCGCTATACCAACAAAAACATAACTGTAAAATACTTGAAAAAAATAATATTGTAACAAAATATATTTATTTATAAAATAACTGCAACAAAAAATACAAGATTTAGGCATTGATTAAGTGTAACACTTTATAAATATGTTTGGAAAAAATTGGAAAATACTTTAAAAATGTTGAATACTTGTTATATGTATAATAATTGTGTACTTATACTAATTACTTTATATATAGTTAAAATATAATTTAAGGTATTTTTTTTTTAAGTAAAAGTATAATTCAAATATTAGATGTTGCCAAGTTATAAATAACTATATAATTCTTGGACTGTATTGGAATAAGTCGTTGTACAACGCCCAAGCTTGAAAAGCTCAAAAATATGTTTACTTAAAAATAGCGTTATTAAAAAAAAAAAAGTATACTTTTATTCGTTACAGTTTTGAATGGTATAATAAACTGTTTGTTTTTCGGATTAATTTTTGGACCATTATTTAAAAATGATGAATACTATTGTACGCGGATAACAATATTGATTGGTCATAACTCATAATATTTTCTCGTTGAAGTCACGAGGAATGTTGTTTGGTATTTATGGTGTAAATAAAACGTGACCCTTATCACAACCCTCGGATTACACTCTTATGTTCGTTTTATTTTTTATTATTATGGTTTTCATTTGTTACTCCGAGAAAATTGCAAATTGAATTACTAAAAACACGATCAAAGTAATGGTCGGGATACAGTGTACGGTATATTATATCAATTGTTTTACAACCGGGGGAAATCCGTCCAACTGCCGCACCTTACAATGTATACAGGAAATAAAAAGATAGTACTTATCTGACATCATTAACATAGGGAGGAGAATAACGAGAAAAATGTTTCAAGATGAACAACAAGAAAATAAAGAATCATACAATTGCTATTATTTTTTTCCGTTTACAATACTATTGTAAAACTCAAAAGAAATAAACGGAATTTTTAAATATAAATTCACTTTCCGGATCCTTTTTAGTTACTCGAGGTTTGATTTCCTGGTATTTCTCTTGACAAACTTTTAATCAACTAAATGCACTGTTGTTGAACAAAGCGTTACAAAATAAAAAAAAATGCCAGCTCAGTGAGGTTGTAGAGGTCACAAATATCTATCATTAAGGTTGGAAGTAATGGAATCACAAAAAAATCACTGATGTGAATTTGGTGATGGTAAAAATATTTGTATTGCCTACAAAATAATAATATGATTATATTGGTATACACAACAACAGTGTTTTTATTTAAATAATACTCAAAACAAATTTGGATCTAGTTACACTATTCGGTTAGTTTAGGTTTTGAAAAACATTAAATAGGACTCAAAACATTAACATGCCAAAAGACTGACATGAGTTCGACAGTTTTCGACCGCATAGCTATATTAACAACTTTATGTACTTAAATTTCGAAGCACACATATAAGGTTTTTTTTTGTGTACTTCTTGGTCAAGTTGACGTGGGCCGCAACGACCAAATTAACACAATACTGTTTTTTACATATTATACTACACACGCAAGTGTAGACATAAAAAGAGTTACTCGAATACTTGTACACTAGAATACTTACTGCAGGTACTTAATAGCGATCAGTAGTCCGGTAACTGTAATTAATAACGGTCTGTATAATATGTTGGTTTTTTTTTTGAGAGGTGGGGGGAGGGCACATAAGAAAACCGCTAAACGCACCGGTATGAACGACGATTAATACACACACACGGATTTAGGTTTTGTCCAAGTTCAACGTCAAATTCACTCGGGTCACCATCCGCTGATGTACGGTGCGACCCCTCGCCGTGTAAAATACTATATTATATACTTGCATCCCTTCGGTTGTGTTGTTTTTGCGCTGCCGTCTCACCAGTCTTTTGGTAATAAAACAAACAAGGGGTAAAAAAATAATAACAAAATAAAAAACACCTAGCCGGACTAATACGTTGGCAAAATAAATGATTATACTCTGTATGTGCGGACGGCGACAATATCATGGGAGGGAGTACACGCAAGACGTGCCGGTCTCGTTTTATTGCTTAACTCCGTCGTCAAGTCGTCTGCTGAGCTACAACAGTAATAATAATAATAATAATTGATTCGCATTGTGCGTTATTGCCTTGGCCGGATGGGGGTGGTTGTCCCTTAAATGGTCCCTACACGTTTTTTACAGCACTAGGTGGGAACCGACTACGCCGAATATTTTTTGAGAACTACACAAAAAGCGAAAGCCTCCCGTTATGACCAATACCGTAGAAATCGACTAGCCCCAATGCTAGCCAAACGTCCCCTCAAAGCTCAACTAATAGTCACCGGGGTTCTGCACCCAAATGTATGTTTAAAACAACCATAATAACACCGTCTAATAAGTTTCAAAATAAAATCAAGTGACAGTTCGTTCGAAAGTTCGAATAATCTGTGTAACATAACATTGTGTACAAGTTACAACATGGTTTTTGCAACTAAATTACAATATTTTCTCGCGGAATCCGAAACTCGAAAGGAAAAAGTCTTTTAATATTAAATTATTTTTAACTATGGTTTTTAAATTCACTTTAAATATAACATCATAAAACAGTGAATCCACAAATTATGCAACGATTAACAAAAAAAATAACATGCATCAAATCTGAGACAAAATTCAGCAAGAAATAAAGTTCCTATTAAATAGATGTATGTTCTTGTTCAAAAAACATGTTAAAATTACTAAGCATATAATGATATTAATGTATTCAAATAGTATATACTATATTTTGTTTTCAATATCATATTGTATCGGATTTGTGTGTGAGTATACATCCATAGAGTATTCAAACTAGTTGAACTTGATAGGTTTTCCACGATTTTAAAGCTCAAACATTCGGTTTACAAACAGCGGCTTTGTGACGTGCTTAAAAAAAATAATAAAAAAACCACACAATATGATCACCAAATACGAAATATGATCACCAAATTATTACACCAAATATGATCGCCAAACGTAGAAATCTAACCGACGTGGGTGGTTTATTATTTTTTTTCAAAGACTATAAAATTGGACCTATATGAGAAATGAACATAATATAATATGTACCTACGTGCAATCGTGTAGCTCCAGCGAATTTTCGAAACGATGAAACCAATATTTCAGTTGTACAATCTAAAAAAGGGATTATGTTTTCGAAGAGTATTATTACTATGTGTACTACATACGGACAATATTCGATTTTCTGCAGAGCGGAGGCGTTCAACTGAAATAATTTTATAATAACTGTCTACAAGCAGTTTACAGTGTAAGACCTGCAACAACGTAGGCTTAGCTATATCTTTGGGTTAACTGCGTTGCCATACTGGTTTTCAAGGATTACACAGTTCTATTTAGTTGTGTATTTGGTCAAAAACTAGAGGCAGTTTATCGCCGGATTTTCATCTCATGCCAAATTCATTTTCTGTATATTATGCACTAACTAGAAACCTAGATAATATAATATATGTGCACAGTGTTATTGTTTACTAAAAAACAATTTTGGATACAGCGTATTCTTCATTCACGTAAAACATATTATGATATAAAATTAAATAGAAAATATATTATAAAAATATGTACTTACGGTTCACCAGATGAATAATTGAATTCGACGTGGATCAATTTATCGAAAACAGCATTCTAAAAAAAAAAGATCATTTTTAATATTTTAAGTATATCAACTCTATATTATATAAATATGGTTATGAAATAAACAAAAAGCATTTTCATATCTATATTGGATTGGAAGAACTAAGACTTTAGTTCTTACTAAATAAAGATTTTAAAAATTCAGTTTTTCTATGAAATTATTTCTGCGCTTAAATACTACAGAGTATCATCTTTTTATCATAAATTTTTATTGTTTTCGTATTAATTGAACAATAACAAAACTACCATATTTTTGACGTTATTCGAAGTGGTCTTTAATAACAAATAGATTTTAATTTTATGCCGTTTTACAATAAATTATGAAACATACAAATTTGTCAGATTTCCTCTATACCCGTATTTTTATTTAAACTATACTTATAGATACTATTATATAATATAAGTAAATACGATCTATCTGGCTTAGAGCGCGCATTACTGAGCAATTATTATTAACACTTAAGTTTCCTGTTTATCAATATTGATTATTATAATATTGTGTTATAGACAGTATTGGTAAGAGTTACCGACAGTGACGTTGATGGACATTTTGGTTAACAACATAGAGGCTCGACCATCTTTTGGTCGTCCGTCAATAAGTTTTCAGACGTTATACAGTTTAATTGTTTTTGGCGGTAAACTTGCAATGTTTAGACATATAACAGTAGTAATGACTTGTGCGTTCATAAAATATTATACTGCTATAAACATGACGTATGCCGAGGGTCGCATTGAATACATCCAGCTGTAAATTTATCACCGTTTTAATTACAAACAAATAATTGTGTTTACTGTTAAGTTTAAAAGTCGACTATTGCGATACACACGCAGTGCGACTAAAAATTGTTTATTCTTTTAAATAAAGTATTATCTGGTAAAAAAAAAAAATGACGTTTTCAAGTAGGTAAATAACTAGAATAAGGAAACGAGTAAAAAAAAAACGTTATCTACTATCTGTTGATGAGAAATGGTCTCCGTTAAGGGACTTTGGAACGTAACAGCGTACATAACATTATGCTAGAGCAGAAAAACCTCATTAGAAATTCAGGAGCCATTGCACCAATTGCGTTAAATTGGTTATGCAAATGAATCTACTTGCTGCAAGTTTTCAATTAGAACGTCTTACCAGCGCCAATTATATTAAAAATAAACATACTATTGACTGCCGAGGCAAATATATAAAGTATACATTCTATTGATATTATTATTCGTGTACAAATTACAAAATGCATACCATTTCTATTATTTCCTATTTTGCTAGGTTTACTGAAACTTTAAGATTTCGACAATGGAATAATTGTTATAAACATAATGAAGCTATTAGCTAATCAATTAATGATCACTATTATTTTTTATATATATTAAATATTTCTAGTTTCAAATTAAAACAAACTTTACATTGAATAAAAGGAAAAACATTTCTTAATAATTTAAAAAAAGAAAATTTAATATTGTTTTGGATGCTATTGTTGCGTTTAAAAATCGGCCTTATTTAAAACTATTTAATATTAATCAACTTGTTATTTATTAATTTGCATGTCTAGGCCACAACGTAATAACTCAAAAATTAGGATTTTTTTTGTTGATGATTTGTTTGGATTTTAGTTTTTACATTTTATTTTTTCGCTTATTAACTATAAATAATATAATAACAATAATGTATTATTAAAGACAAATTTTAAACTTGAAATACCTATTCCTTTTGGAAATATATTAATTATTATTTTGGTTTAGATCTTTTCGTATTCTATAATGATTTTATTTTTTCAGAACAACAATAAATTCGACTTTTATTTTTTTTTTAGAAAAAATCGTTTTTTATCATATTATTGTAATATATGTATAACTAAATAATTGTTAGCCGGTTTCCAGGGCGTTTATGCTCGGCTAATGTATCGTGAAACACAAATGGCATTCCCGAGGCACCTAAACAATGGTATTCCCCTCTTTCTCTTTCTAACCCTTTCCACGGGTAATGTTTAACTCTATGTACCCCCTACCGGTCGATCGGTTAATTAGACAGCCATTTGTTAGGAAACGGTTCGGTGCATTGTTTTCCGTCGTGTTTTATCATGCTACAATGTAGCTTTCTCGACCCCTTCCGCTCCTTCGCGGCCATCTCCTAATATCCACCGCCCCCTGTCTCTAGGTCTCTGTATACTTATGACTCGGTCCCTCGGTTATTGAGCAAACGCACCTCGCCCTACTACTACGCTCAGACCACCACCAGGTGTCTTAGACGGGACACAATCCTTCTCTCTTCTATTCATCGTTAATCATCTTAATTTACTATCGCCTCCCATCGATACTCTATAGAATGAAAACAATACACCTACGACATAAATAATTAGACCCTCTGTTCACACCACCACTCATCGTGCGATTCACTAATACTTTGCGCTTAACTTACACCTCCAGAAGTAGCTCGGCCTGCGGTTTTGTACCTATAATTACATAACAAAATTATTTAAAACTAAAAAAAAACTATAACAAAATTAATTGTACGCTTTTCTTATTGTGTTTTTTTAATTTTTACCACTATTGCTGTCCAATCAGATCATTATATTGTATTTTATAGATGTGTTGGCTATTTATTCACAACACATGGGTATCTTAGTGGAAAGTCAAAAATAATAATATATTTAGCTTATTCCCGTACAGTTTTATTTTTGATAAAAAAACTATGTACAAAACAATGTAGAACGCATCTTATAGATTTAAAATGAAAAATTGTAATTAAAACAATAAATTTCTTAGTAATTGTAGAAATAAATAGTGATAAGCTGATATTTCAGTAAAAGAAAAATAATTTCAGAACAATTAAATTGTCTGTTATAGAATATATCTTCATAGGTATATATTTTTCGTTATTAAAAAAAAAAAATATTACAAGGAAGCGTGCACTACAATAATTATTGCTAAAGGTTATAATATTATGAGAATATAATTTTGCTGTGGTGTTGATTGTTTTGGAAATAATAGTGCTCAAAGAGATGCGCTGTTTACGCTGAATTAATAAACGCATATCACATATAGAATCAACTATAGTGCATTTAGTTTGTTATTGAATTAATTGTATCGAACGTAAATTGCATATTCTATTTGAAGGCAAATTTGCTAAGTCAGTTTCGGAGAATACCTTTAAATAAAACAGAAATTAATAATAATTTCAAATATTATATTCGTGGAACTCTACAGCGGAGTATTCATGACCGACAATCTCCCAATTCCATTATTATAAGTTATAACAGACGAGTAAAATATAATACATCTGTAAATAATATCAGCTGATTATGGTTTTTAAATCAGACTCCAAAACATTTGGTTCCGGCGTTAACAATTTTAAGCTGAATCAACTAAATAACTAATCGATTTCAGCCTATTTTTTAATTTTAATTCCAAAAGCTACGACTTTGTGTAATATCAAGTTAACAATACAATAACCTACAATTAAAAATGTGTAATTCTGTTATTAATTAGTTAAATAAAAAAATCATGTTTTAACTACACGGCAATGAATAATGAAACTTTGTTTGAAAATTGTATTACCTACTGAAGTCACATTCATAATATTATCGATCTGAAATTCAAACAATAGGTACTATTGCAGCAAGCCTACAATAAAAAAAAAGTTTGTCAATAAATTAAAGGTAGCCTGTTACCAAAAAATAAATAAATTCTAGTTAAATAATATTGTATATGATTTACTTTAATCGTCTTAAACGTTTTACAGCTCACATTGTTACAATAAATAAAAACTAATTAGTTTTACTCTCGAAACGACTTGTGCGATATTTAATAAATATTTCTGATGCAACAAAAATATAAATATATTTTTATGAAATATAACCAATAATAAATGACTATAGATCTTTAACACTTACAGGACAATCGGCGTCATGTTTAAATGCAAAATGTATGACTTACAAGAAACCGTCTAAAACAAAATGAATTTATAGTAAAATCATAAATAATAAAACAAATACATTTTTTTTTTCTTTACTTAATATGTTATCCTAAAAAATTAATTGTTATTTATTGTACTTAGAAATTAATAATTGCACATTACCAATCATAAAGGAACTAGATAATATCTTGTGATACAAAATAAACACAGAATCGGATACGACATTTTTACTAACCAACACGATGAATTTTAAAGTTGCTAATCTTTTCTTTTTTTTTTTTCGAAGCACGAGCAGTTGTAACTTACTAATCTATGTAAGAATAACATATTACAGAAACTAAGCAACTATTGAACAGTTTAGAAATTTACAGAAAAATATAATATATGACCGTATTCGTAGTCAAAACATATAATATATTTATTCAAATTCGCGGACAAAGTTTAACTACAAACAAACAATAATAAAAAATACATATAACAATACATTTAAAATAAATGTCTTATTCAAATTAATATAAACAAAAATAGGTTGATCAATAAAACTCCAAGAAGTCGAAATAACTATTAATAGTAGTACTAATATCTATAATACAGAGTGATCAATTAAACGCAAGACACTAATTTTTCTCGGAAAGTAATACAAATTTAATAGTTTTTCTTTTTGAAAATATTTTTATTTATGTTATTTTACAATATAATAAAATTACTATCTATACAGTATACTACTGAAAATGTTAATTTTTTTTAGTATTTTCCATGGCTCTATCAACTTTAGTGTCTTATGTTAAATCGATCACTCTGTATGTACAATGAGTATATCCTTCTTTTTATCCTCCTTTTCTTTTTTCTTTCTTTGGTTATTGCTACTTAATATAACATTATTTAGTTTATGGTATATGGGGCTTATAAAAAACATTTCAACGTCGTGTGCTTGTAATAAGTTATAAGTTATAAGTTTAATTGCATATTTTTTTTATCCGCCGTCCTATAAAATATATTGTATTATCACATTTTAATTAGTTACCTTTACATTTAACAGTATTTTTATGTAATTTTTTTTTTAAAATCAACTCGAGTAGTGGAG